TTTTAGCTAGCTTTCTGGTACTTGTAGCTTTAGATACTGTTTAGCTACTTTTACTATTGGGTCTCATTTTCCTTATTTTTTACGCTTTGGATACTTTTAACTTCTTAGTACCATTTTGCAATTTTAACTTTTAACTAATCTTTTGCTTCATTTAGCTTTCAGTTAATGTTTTGCTACTTGCGCTAGTGTTATTTTTTTCAGTTAGTATTGTTTTTAAACTTTTGTCTTTTAGCTATTTTGCTTCTTTTTGTGTTTAGCTACTGTTCAGCTCCACTTAGCTTTACCAGTTCAGTTTCAGCTTCTTCATTTGAGAAAAGTCGTTCAGACTTAGCATTCACACTGTATTTCTTTTCCATCCATCCATCCATCCATCCATCCATCCATCCATCCATCCATCCATCCATCCATCCATCCAGCCATCCATCATCTTCTTATTCCAAAATTGTGTCGTGGGGGCAGCAGCTTGTGCAGGGAGGTCCAGACATCTCTTTCCACAGCCTCCTCTTCCAGCTCTTCTGGGAGGAGCCCAAGGTGTTCCCAGGCCAACTGAGAGACATAGTCTCTCCAGTGTGTCCTGGGTCTTTCCCGGGGAGCATCCTTACCAGATGCCCGAACCACCTCAACTGGCTCCTTTTGATGAGGAGGAGCAGCGGTTCTACTCCGAGTCTCTCCCAGATACTGAACTTCTCACCCTATCTCTAAGGGAGAGTTCAGCTACCCTGCGGAGGAAACTCATTTCAACCGCCTGTATCCTCAAACTTGTTCTTTCGATCACTACCCAGAGTTCATAGGTGAGGGTAGGAACGTAGATCGACTGGTAAACAGAGAGCTTTGTCTTACTACTCAGCTCTCTCTTCACCACAACAGACTGGCACAGAGTCTGCAATACTGCAGATGCTGCACCAATCCTTCTGTCACTTTCACTCTCCATTCTTCCCTCACTCTTGAACAAAACCCCGAGATACTTGAACTCCTCCACTTGAGGCAGAACCTCACCCTCGACCTGAAGAGAGCAATCCACCCTTTTCTGGTTGAGGACCATGGCCTCAGATTTGGAGGTGCTGATTCTCATCCCAGCGGCTTCACACTCAGCTGCGAACCGCTCCAGTGAGAGCTGAAGATCATGGCACAATGACGCCAACAAGACCACATCATCTGCAAATAGCAGAGATGGAATCCTGAGGCAATTGAACCGGAAACCCTTCGCCTTCTGGCTGCACAGAGAAATTCTGTCCATAAAAGTTATGAACAGAATTGGTGACAACGGGCAGTCCTGGCGGAGTCCAACTCCCACCCTGAAGGGGTCTGACTTACTACCGGCAATGTGAACCAAACTCTCGCGCCGCTTGTATAGGGAGTGAACAGCCCATATCAACAGGCCCCCAATCCCATACTCATGGAGCATGAAGCACCCCCCCACAGTGTACCCTGAGGAACATGGGCCAAATCCTTCTCCAAGTCCACAAAACACATGGATGGGCAAACTCCCATGACCCCTCCGAGGACCCTAGTGAGGGTAAAGAGCTGGTCCAGTGTTCCACGGCCAGGATGGAACCTGCACTGTTCCTCCTAGATCTGAAGTTAGACCAACGATCGGACTCGCTTCTCCAGTACCCCTGAATAGACCTTACCAGGGAGGCTGAGGAGAGTGATGACCCTATAATTGGAGCACATCCTCCGGTCCCCCTTTTTGAAGAGGGGAACCACCACCCCAGTCTGCCAATCCAGTGGCACTGCCCCCAGTTTCTATTTCAGGTTTCAGGTTTCTATTTAATTTTCCCATTTGTGTTTGTGTTGTTTATGTTATCCATTAGGATGCACACGATGAGGTTTATTATTATGTGAATTGTTCATCAGAGACAGAACAGCTGACTGTAAAGACAGTTTGATTGGTTGACTTTTTCTCTGCAGTTTCATGCATCCCACCCAGTGTTTCCTGAACATCTCTGTGACTCATGCTGTGGTTGTGAAACAGATTTGTTTCTTATCTTTGCTAATTGTCTTCTCATGCACCCCAGCAGGTCCTCTTCTCACTGACTTGTCTCTCTATGACATGTCGCACGTACGTGCGTCTCAGCACATTCCTGCCCCGGTGTGTCATTTAGCAGCTTCGCACAAACCGACTTCTTTGGCCTCCTCGGAGCATTAAACTCTGGAGAGCTTTGCTTCTCTCTTTTCCTCATACTGCTCGAATAGGGAAGCATTCAAAGAAAAAAGAAAGCCACTTTAATTTATGTATCCCACCAAATGTCCTGTAACTGAAGTTCTGTTTAACTTTTTTCAGATGCGACCAGACCAGGGCTGCTTAACTTGTTGTGGTTGCCTCCAAGTGCAGCACAAGAGCTTCTTTGTGAACAATTATGTCACTGTTTGAAACCAGCCAAGAAAAAAAGTGTTTTTTTATGATTGCATAATCTTAAAGCCTCTTTCAGGTGAGTGTATTTTCCACAAAAGTGCCCCATTTGATTTACATTTAGTTTCTTACGTTTTGATTAACCTCCTTTTTTAATGATCACAAACAAAAGAAGTGTGTTGGGCAAAGAGGATAAATCAGGTTAAACTCAGCGTCAATTACTGAACTGAATAGAGATGATAAATTTAGAAAAAAAATCTGCCAAGTTACAAATGACATGATTTGGAGAGAACAAAATGCTGGATTGAGTTCATCCTACATATTTCTATCTATCTATCTATCTATCTATCTATCTATCTATCTATCTATCT